CGCTCCCCATACCGATCCACCAAGTTGGGCGCTCCCAACCTCCTTCGTGCAACGGACGGGTGCTCCCGTCCGCATCCGGGTACTCCCGGAGTACGAGTCTCCGCCGTCGGGTGCCCCCGGCGGTCTTTGGCCTTAACCCCGACCGGGCGCTCCCGGTGTCCCGTCGCACTGGACACGGGCGCTCCCGTCTCCAGCTGGGTGCTCCCAGCGTGCGAGCCGACCCCGATCGGGCGCTCCCGATCGGCCTGACCTGACCCCGTAGGCTCTAGGCACCGTAGATCTAAGACCGTAGACCGTAGATGTAAGACCGTAGATGTAAGACCGTAGACGTAAGACCGTAGACGTAAGACCGTAGATGTACGACCGTAGAGGTAAGACCGCAGATGTAAGACCGTGAATGTACGACCGGAGACCGCGATTCCCCAGCCGACCCCGCCGGCTCTAGTTCTCCGACCGCGGACCGCGACCTATCACCTGTACGTCGAAGTCTAGGAGTCTAGGTATAAGTCCGCGACGGTGCAACCACGCACACACGATATACACTTACCCACACACACGCTCCCTAGCACTTACACCCCCCCCCCCTTATTACACATTGTACATGCAAACAGAACAAATAAACGTCAATTTACAACAGTGTCTCGCCGCTTTCTCACCCTGACCCCCGGCGAGCGAAGTCCGAGCGCGGAAAAAGCGGAACGTAACATTCTATAATACTGTCACGATAACATTCTGTCGAATGCGACCCAGCGAGTGTGTCCATCCACTTTCTCACCGGTGCTCCTATTTTCCTCGGCGAAGCACCACTAGACCAATCAACGGTCTCCACGCATAGCGATCGGTTTTCGCCGTCGACGTGTTTGTCGGTTATTACTTTTCAGAGGACATCTCCGAAAAACAATAATCTCCTCTGCAAAATAACATTGGTGTTATAAGAGACCTACAAACTTTTCGCCTACATTTGTTTATTTTAGAAGCACATTTGTACGATGGAAAATGTGCGCACTCAGCATTGTTAAGAGCAAAAGGTATGCCAGTGCATTGAGACCAACATCGGAGGCAGTCGTTGATGTTGATAGCTAGTTTACAACGCTTCCTATAAAAAAAGAACATACAGCGAGCAATGCGAGCGCGCTTTTGCTCGTCGTATGCGCGGGGATGCGTGTGTGTGTGGACGGATGAGAGTGTCGCGTATTCATGTATAGAATAGTCCAGGACTTTCGAGAGCGCCACCGCTCATGCGCAGCTTTTCGAGCCTTCCGGTATGGACGTGCGCGTCTTCACTCATGTCGTGACCGCCGTGCAGTATACAGCTCGTGTATCATTTGCTCCTATTAAGTAAAGTAGCTCTAGCATTAAAACTCGTCTACCGGTTCTTTTACCTTGCCCAAGAATAACGCGCTTCCTACTCTGTTCGTCTCACACGATAGCGGAGACAAATAGAATAGGCTCAACAGTTGACGATAAGACGAGCGAACTTTCTGGCGTCGTGGATAGCATTTTATCGCTGGAAATAACAAATCCACTTGAGGAACGCACAGTATTTTTTATCAACGAAAACCTGGAAGCAATTACTTTTAAAAACCTTCCCGATGATCAAAAGAATATTTTCAAGACGTAAATTCAAGTGTCCAAAGAAGAAGCTATTGAAATAGCGTTGGAGACTGTTCTGCAGTCGTGTTCGAAATGGAAAGAAAAAAGAAAATGCCGTGTTACAGCAAGCACCGCTTATGGACTTTTCACTTTTCGTCAAACAGCCAAGAGACGTGGGAAGCTAAAATCTTGCGTCACTTAGAAGAACAGTTTCATGGAAATTCAGCAACTGTGTATGGATCAACAAACGAGCCACGAGCTCGAAAATGTTATGAGGACGTTAGTGGTGACCAAGTTATTCTAACGGGGCTTTTGATCAATCCGTACCTACCCTGGTTAGGATACAGCCCCGATGGTATTATTCTAGGAAAAAAATCTTTGAGGTAAAATGTCTAGTTATCAGCAAGACAAAAAGCGCCGAGGATATAGTTTCTCATTTGAAATTTCTTGACGAAAATTTTTATGTAAAAGAGAAACATGCATACTATTGTCAGGTTCAATTAGGGATGTTTATAACCGGGCTACGCAAGTGTGATTTGATACTTTACTTGTCGAAAAGCGATTCATGTATTGTTTCTACTATTGTATACTGCTTGAGTCCCGATGAGTTGTCAGTACAACTTCGAATTGGCGGATCGTGTAGCCTCGCGACCGACGACCAGTTCGAGTCACGTGCTCGCGATCGGGAATCTTCGGCGCGATCGACGGCCGTAGCGTTCGATCGACGCACGGGAGCTCTATTCTATTCGTAACGTTGAGATCGATAACACGTACCGGTTTAGAGATCAACTGTGCTATTAGAGTTCATCTGTGAGCTATACTTTCTCTCGCTGAACATTTGCTTCCATTCGGACTCGCTATTCAGAAATAACGAACGCGAACAACGCTCTCGCGCGAGTTAGTGCTTTATCTGCCAACGATATCGATATTCCGCTGTTCTTCTGTTCAATCTCAATCCGTTCTCCTATGTTGTATCTTATATATATCCTTTCTTTCGGGAACTCACGATGATGATATCGAGTCTATCGATTCGTATTGCTGAGTGAGCTTCTCCTACCTTAATTCTTTCCTTTAAATATCGTTTAAACGACCACGGTATCTAACTATACTATAGGTGCGGAAATTGTGTGTAATTTTCTGCCGGAGTCAACAGCGTGAGGTCAGAAAACATCGACTCGAACGTTCTTCGGTCACCTTCTGCGAATAACGACGGAGCAGTTTCCAACGAGAGTCGACACGACCGTGGTATTCTGTACGCCACTCTCGTGGCGGTACCGGTATCTCGTCGCGCAATAACTTTACCATTTGCCCGCGTGACATTTTCTGGTCCTTCGAGCCGGATTGCAGGTGCTGGTGTCGTGTTTGAACGATTACGAGGTCCCGTGGGTCTGTTCAATCGTGCTGAGTCACTATGACCGAAACGTTCTGAAGTGTAGTTGCTGGTAAAATAAGTCGGAAGAGATTTGCCTAATACCTTCTTTATTATCGTTCTCGTCAGTACAATGGAGAACGCGCTTCCGTTCTTCTCGTCAGAGAGAGATTGCGCAGAGGAGCCACCGACGTTCTCCTTCTTCGTTACTCATTGGTCGCGCCCGCAGTGGCGCCGCAACTCTAATACGCGCGGTCTTTGAATTATATGTAATGACATAACACGTTCGAAAGACAAACAGAACTTTTACGACAACTCGATCGCGCGCTCGAAAATTTCAAGAAAATCGAGAGAAACAATTTAACGCCCGCGCGCATTAGAAGCCGGGACTGCTCTGAAAGAAGTTTGGGCGGCGGTGCAGAATAGTAACGTAATGCTCCTGGTGCAAACTCCAACAAGTACCAGGGCCACGTATCCATACTTCGCGGACAAGCAATTCGAAGCCGCTGAGGAGACGTACCAGGTAACGGCCGATTATATGGCCGAATGTCTTGAAGAGCTCGAGCCGCCTGTAAGTCCGAACCAAACTATCAATAGCAATCAATCCTTCGGAAGCATATCGTCAGGCTCGCTAGCTCGTTTGCCTCCGATCAAACTTCCACCGTTCGACGGAAAATATGAAGAATGGGAGAGTTTTCGCAATCGGTTTACTTCCCTGATTCTTGATAACTCCAAGCTGAAAGACTTTTCGCGTATACACTTTCTCATCGCTAGCTTGAAAGATCGTGCGCTCGAGTGTGTTAAGCATTTACCGATAACAGCCGACAACTTTGCCGTCGCTTAGAAGCTATTAAAGTCGCGTTTTGAGAATAAACGTCGGCTGATGAATACACATCTTCTAAACTTGCTAAGTTTACCGCACATCACTCGGGAATCGCACGGAAAGAACAATGTAGCTGCTGTAGCTAAAACTTAGCAAAATAGGGACAACTAATATTTTTAGTTGTGATAGCTCAATATTTTGCTACGACAGCAAACCATTTGCTGTCGCACCTAATACAATAGGCACAGTAGCAAAATATTGAGCTATCACAACTAAAATATTAGCTGTCCCTATTTTGCTAAGTTTTCGCTACAGCAGCTACATTGTTTTTTCCGTGCGATGTCCGACTTACAACTCTTACGCGATAAGGTCAATTCTAATATAGCAGCATTGGAGAATCTCAAACGGTCTCCAGCAGAACTTTGGAATGACATTCTTGTCTACATTATCACTCAAAAGTTCGACCCGAGCACTCGCAAAGCTTGGAATTTAAAACATAGCGAGAGCGACGCGCCTTCCGATTACAATCTCTACAACAATTTTTGGATTCACGCATCCGAGCACTCGAGGAAACGAAAACTTCAATCTCATCCGAGGAAAAGTCATCCATGGCTTCTACCAAGATTCATAGTGCAACCGCTTCAACTCCTTACAACATTAAATGATCTGAAAAGCAAGTCATTCGTTCCAATCATGTTCACAATTTTTGAACAAGAGTCCACGGCAACGTCGCGACTTAGTCGAAAAGGAAAATCGTTGCTCCAACTGTCTTAGCTCGCGACACAGCGCACAAACATGCCAGAGCAAATACACTTGCCGGCTCTGTCATCAAAAACATCATACACTGTTACATGAAGTCATGGACTCTTCGTCAAAGGTCAATAAGGTTCCGACCCCCCAAAACATTAAGCCCAATGCCGACTCAACATCGAGCGAGATTTCGTCGTTGTGCGCGTCGCAGAGTACCTCTTCTCGTACGCAGGTACTACTCGCTACCGCGTGGATTAATGTTCATGCGCCCTCGAATCGAGGCGTATGATCGAGGTCCGAGCCTTACTCGACCAAGGGTCGGAAATGACCTTTATCACCGAGCGTTTAGCGTAGACGCTCTCGCTGAAGCGTATGCGAAGGCCCACCTCGATTTCCGCAGTAGGTGGCATTAATGCCGGAACATACCGGCATGCCTCGCGAATCGCTATCTCGCCGCGGAGTGGAATGACGCCGGCATTCTCGACCACCGCATTAATTTTGAAAAATTTGACGGCTTACGCTCCGCTGCGTGTCCCGCGGGATCCCGCGTTAAATCATCTCACGGATCTAGCCTGGGCGGATGACGATCCGACGAGCTCTCACGCTATCGATGTTCTAATCGGTGCGGATCTCTATGGCGAGCTTCTTCTCAATGGAGTTCGAAACTCCCCAGCCGGGCGGCCGATCGCCCAAAACTCTGTACTCGGCTGGATCATTTCCGGGCCTATCGCTTCTCCGATTGCCGCGCGCGCGTCAACGGTCACATCTTATCACGTAAGTTCGCGACAAACAATCGATTCGCTACAGGGCGCGAGCGAACCGTCGCTCGAGCAAGCTCTTCACCAGTTTTGGGAGGTAGAGGAGGTTCCGCGAAACATTCTGCTGACTCCCTCCGAAGAAAAATGCAAAGCTCATTTTCGCTTAACGCATTCGCGCGATTCGGACGGGCGATACATCGTTCGACTTCCCTTCCGCAACGCTCCTCCAATCGCTATAGGCGAATCGCGCGCGATCGCCGAACGAGTGATGAATCGTCTCACTACGCGTCTTCACTCGAAGTCAGAACTCCGGGATGAGTACCGAACATTCTTGCATGACTACGAGAGTTTGGGTCACATGCGCGAAGTTCCCAGGTCTCTTGACCACACGAAATGCGTATATATTCCGCATCTCCCCGTCATACGGAAGGGCAGCGCTACTACTCGTCTTCGAGTGGTGTTTAACGCGTCGAGCCTTATCTCTAACGGATCATCGCTGAACGATCACTTGCTCGCGGGTCCTAAGCTGCAAAACGACCTCAGTTCGGTCATTCTCCAATGGAGAACATTCCAATACATCTACGCTGCCGATATCGCTAAGATGTATCGGCAGATAAAAGTCACTTCACAAGATTTAGTCTTCATGGCTTCCGGATGGTTGCCGCGTCCGTTTGCAGTGTGGTGCCGACGTTTCGCAGGCGTTGCAGTCTGCTTCATCAGAGCTGGGAGACTCTGATACTGAGCTCCCTCGCGTTGCGCTAGTCCTTTTATACTCGTTCTTGGGGGGGGAGGGAGGAGGTAGTCAGGGGGAGGGGGT